CTTCATTAGAAAAATTGATAATATCTGTATCGATATCCATAGGTTGAGGAAAATAAGAAAAATTTTCGGAAGACATTAAAAAATAAAAAAAAAAACTCACTTTCAAACTCAGTAAAAAAAATAAATAATTTATCCATTTGATTGTGATATGATTAATAAAGTGTGATTTATATTTATAGTGTTTTAGTCTATATTAAGTTCATTTAAAAAAATATTGAAAAAGTAGCGTATTTATACTTGTGTGATTTATATAGTTTAATAATAACTCGAAATTTATAAATAAAAATCAAAAACGTAATGTATAAAATTTTTTATTAATGATGATTTAGTAAAATTTTATTTATATAATGTGAACTAAAAATCTACATTTGTCAATGTAAACTCTGAGTATGAAAATTGCTGTCCAGTCAAATTTCACCATCGGCAAATAGAAATATGACAGAAATCCACTGATCGTTAAAAGCCTCACCAATCCTTGATGCACGGTTGCAGTTTATGATATATTCTCTTAGAATCGATTTTCCTGTCGTTTCTTTTATTTGAAGAGAATATTAAAACATAAGTCACATAGCCTTCATATAGACATATGTGGTTATTAACTTGATCCTATTAAATAAATATTTTAAAAAAAAAAAAAAAAAAAAAATTTAAATTATCGATATATTTTATAACCTACTTGGTTTCAATTATATGTTTTTTAAGGTTTTTGGTTGTTTTTTCTCTTTCGTTTGAGATAGTTTTGATGATCCATTAAAAAAACAAGATTTTGGTCGGATGGTATTATCATCTGGTTTCAAAAGTTTTTAGGTTCAGAGTTGCCTGCGAAAAGCTCAAATTTCTCCTACTGCAGGATGTAATAGCAGTCGAATCTCTTTATTTATTTCTACAATAAAAACATTAAATAATAAATTCAAATTTGTAAATTTTATAAATATTAATAATAAAAATTAAATTAATAAATTCAAATTTGTAAATTACGTTATTCAAATTATTATTTTATGTAGATTATTTATGTAGAGTAAAATAAAAACGATGTTTTTATATCGATAATCATTTTAATCTTTGTATCACGAATACGCAACAAATTCCGATTATTATTAAATGAGTTCTAAATTTAGATTTATAATACACTGTTAAAGTGCAATTTTAATAGGATTACTAATTTAGATACGCAGTTTTGACATAGTTTTGATAACGATAGATGCGCAGTCTTGATTGTCAAAATAAATACTTATTTAATATTTATTTATTTATAATTTTAATATATATATATATGTATCGTGCAGTTAACAGTTTTAATAAATTTTAAACTATTAATATAAATAAATTTGCTTAAAATAACAATTAAACAAAAAATGAAATTCTCAGGGATCTCTCAATACCTTAGCAACTTTTTTAACAAGTAAATATTGTTTTTTATTAAATTAATCGTTGATGTTATATTAATATTTTATATTAATATTAAAAAAATCAAACAGCATGTCTGGGGGGAATATGACTAAAACACAACTATATGAAAGAATTAATGAACTAACAATTACACTCCAAGAAATGAAAAACCAACATGTTAACGAAATTAATCTTTGCAGGAAAAACTTTGAAAAACAAAAACAGGAAATGAAAGAAAACCATGCTATTCAAATCAGTCTTTACCAAAAACTAATTGATAAAAATGAAAAAGAAGTTGAAAATTTGATGACTATAATTGAAAACAACAAAAAAGAAATTGAACGAATCGATGAAATGAGAAGAAAATATGAATTTGAATATAGTGAAAGATTGGAAGAAAAAGATAGAAGAGAAAAAACTTACAAACAAACTATAAAATGATTAGAACAAAAAAATAATTCTTTACGAACTCAACTTAATGAAAATGCTCTCCCCATATGAATAAATAGTATAATTATTTTTTTTTCTTTTAGATTAAATCTAAAAGTTTTTTTTTTCCATTTAATTATATTATTAACGAATTACATTAAATAAAATATTTATATGTATTAAATATTAATAAAATCGATTATATTTAACTTAAAATCAGAAATCAAAATATTCAAACTTTTTGCAAAAGATAACGAGATACAATGATTTCTTTTTCATTTCGTTTCTTTCTTTGCAAATCCTTTACAAAAATTTGTGATAATCAAAAATTGCTCAATAATCAAATCTTGAAAATTTATAAAAATATTGACATAATAAGTTTGATTTTATATATTATAAAATAATATTAAATAAAAATTATAAATTATTAATTTATAATATAATATACTAAATTAAACGTTTAATAAAATAAACAATTAAAAAGTAAAAGAACAAATATTATTCGTTAATGTAAACTCAGATGTGGCTATTACTAGTTAAATATTTAATCGATTATTATCGATTAAATTTAAT